TAGGTCAAAAATATGTAGACTAATGTACCCTTTTCACTAAACTAAAATATAAAATCAAACAAAACATATCAAAATCTTAAACCATAAGTTTGTCTGTTTTTACTAGAAACTGTTGGTGTTTGGTATTATAAGAATTTAAATCCTAACTTTAACACATAATTAAAACTTTTAAATTATCAGTTATCAATTGGGCCAAACTCTTATGGATTAAACTAGAAGTTTTCCACAATGATAATGACAAGCTCAAATATTAAATCAACTTGAAAATTAGCATGTATGATTTATATTACTATTTAGGTAGTTTTTAAAAGTATTCATTAGAGGGAGGTGTTTTATAAGTTTGGACTTTAATTTTTTTTATAGAAGGGGTGGTGTTATTGCCACAGCTTCAAAGATTAACACCACAGCTTTTTTAATTAATTGACCATTAACCCACGCGGAGAAGGTGGTGACTGCTGCAAGTTGGATTCAAATGAGGGGTATAATAGTCAAATAATTAAAAAAAGATGTGGCATTAACATTAGTGGCTGTGGCAATAACACCACCCTATAGAAGTTAGGACTAATATACATTACTTTTTAAGATAATAAGGTAAATAAAATAAAGGTTAAGGATTAAGAGCTTAAAATTAAGAGTTTGTGTATCAATTTTAAAACTTTCCAAAAGATCACAAAGACCATGGCGCCTCTTGGTCTCTATATAGCTCCGCCACTAGCCCCAGCTAGTGTTGCCCGGCTGGCCGGCGAGCTGCCGGGACAACGGCACCATCAAAGACGGCGGAGTGCCACAGAAAAGCAGAAATGGCAGTTGTCATGGACTTGTCAAAAGACTCACAACACTCAAAAAAAGTAAGAAATTTTAATTATTAAAAAATATAAGAAATTACTGAAAAATATTTGATAGTTTTGATATATAATAAAAATGAAAATATTATAATTATAATATTATGTGATATTAATTATATATTATAATATGGTGTATTTATATATAATTGTTTTTTTTTAATTAACAAAAGATAAATAAATTTATACCAACAAACATTAAGTTTTTATCTTAATTAATTAGGATAATTCTTTTTATTTCTTCCGAGCAATGAATACGTATATCAAGGCATTTGAGCCTTCGGGCCCAATAACATCAAGCCACGTTTAAGTGCATTCCTCCTCTCTTAGACAACGGTTTAAATCCGATCTCTTGCAAAATTATTCAAAAAAAAAAATGAATACGTATATCAAGTGCAAAAAATATAGAGTGGTGATATAGGGATAAATTTTTTATATTATTTTTTATATAATTTTTATATGTTATTAAATGAGTGAATGTATTTAACATAATAAATTTGAAATGTAAAAAAATTAATTATTTAAATAATACATAAAGTTATATAAAATAATAAAAAAAAATTATCTCTAAATCATTTTTCAAAAATATATAATGTTTTTTATTTTTTCTAAGGTTGATTGTGCACATGGGATGATATGATTAGAAGGTGTGTAGCACGAGCCTTTCAGATTAGGGATGGCAATTCTCCTTGTTCCCCATGAGGTCCCGCGAGGATCCCTGCCATGGGGATGGGGCGAGGATTATGAAATTTCGCTAGGTATTTTCCTCGTCCCACGGGGATCCCC